GGTTTTCTAGTTCTAGAATTTCAAGTCTGGTGGCATAAGGTATTCTACAACGAATAGAGGAGTGGAGAACTCTTCTTGTGAAATATTTTTGGACTTTCTCAACTGTGTTAATATCAAATACATAATGTGGGTTCCAGACTGATGAGCTGTATTCGAGTATTGGTCTTGCAAATGTTTTGTATGGTCTAGTTAGTAGTGTGATATTACCAGAGAAAAAGCTACGTAGGATTAGGTTAACAACTCTTAATGCCTTTTTGGCTATGTAGTTACAGTGGGCTCTAGCACTTAGATCATTAGAGATGAGTATTCCAAGGTCCTTTACAGAACTTGGATCATCAACAAGATCTTGACTATTCAGCTTGTATTTTATTTTCTGATTATTTTTTTTGCCAATATGTAAGACAGAGCATTTATCTGTTGAGATTTGAAGTTGCCATTTGCTTGACCATTCTGATACACAGTCAAGATCTTTTTGAAGGGTAGCAGTATTGTGTGTGGTATTGAACAGCTTTACATCATCAGCGAAAAGAACGCAGTTGCTCTTAATATGATCACAGAGGTCATTTATGTAGAGTATGAAGAGAGTTGGTCCTAGAACATTGCCTTGGGGGACACCACTATTGACAGGTACAGAATTTGATAGGACACTCCCAATTTTCACCATTTGTTGTCTGTTTGACAGGAATGCTTCTATCCAGTTATGCAGGTGTCCAGAGATACCATAAGATTTTAGTTTTAGGAGTAGTTTGTCATGTACCACTGAATCGAAGGCTTTACAGAAGTCTAGGTAGATTGGGTCTATTTCTTTACCCTGATCGAGTTGTGTAGTCCATATGTTTTTGCAGTGTAAGAGTTGCAGATTACAGGATAGTTTTTTCCTGAAACCAAATTGTTTATTGGAGAGTAGGTTGTTTGTCTCTAAGTGGAAGATAATGGATTGGTTAATAATTGATTCCATGACTTTACAGGTGATGCAGCATAAGGAGATTGGACTGTAATTTTCAACTAGGCTGGGGTCTCCCTCTTTGAAGATGGGGATGACCGTGGCTTGTGACCATAGGTTAGGCAAGGAGCTGGTCCTGAAAGATTTTTCAAAGATTATGCTTACACAACCCTGATGAAATAAAGTTTGACACCCCTGATCAAGACTGAAGAAGCAAATTAAAGCAGAAATGTAATGTTATTTTGATATTCCCAAAAATTATGGAGTGATGTTTGCTTATTCTGCTTCTGTAAAAAATGGTAGATGCTAGTTCAAATGTAGAATAAAATGTTTGTCATTCAGGAAACATAAAAAGAAATGAAAGCTATTCAATCATTTTTCTTTAATTATCTGAAGTAGTTTGCTTTAAATCAAATGTATATATTTGCTGAATTAAAGTATCCACTTCCCATAGGAGAAAAAACAGGAAAAGGTGATTTTTATAGCAATAGCAACAGGACTTAGATTAATATACTGCTTCATAATGCTTCACGTTACTCTCTAAGCAGTTTACAGAATGGAAGGCTGAGTCAACCTTGAATCTATCAGGATCGAACTCCTAGTAGTGGCAGAGTTAGCCTGTAATACTGTATTTTAACCACTGTACCACCAAGGCTCATCAACTCTCTTATCTACTTGTGCTCCCCAGAAAGCTGTTTAGAGACCAGCAGTTTAAGAAATAAACAAGAGTATAAGATGGAGATTGTTGAAATCTTCAAACTCTTGGATTTTATATAATTTTTAATTAATTCTGAATCTTTGCTATTTATTTTCATATGCTTGTAGAAATGAAATGGTATATTCCTTTGCTGTATATAAAATTATTTTTATTGCATTATTGCAAAACATTTTTTTCAATCTTTACAACCCTATTCATTGCAACCTGCAATCTGCAATGAATATACCATGAAGGAATAAAAATGTAGTAAGGGAACTTCTGAAATAGAATGAGAGGAGACTGAGACACTTAAATAAAATTCCCTTTCCCTCTTTTAGTAGCTAAAACCTCCAGATGTCATGCACTTCATGGAAAGGAAACTCAGAATCATAGCTCAGGAATATTATAGCTTTTAACATCATTTAGTTGACTTTATCTATAACTATTTCTTTATATCTTAAACTAGGAAAACAAATCCAGCAAAGTTCTCCAATATAACAAATAAGTGTATGATAAAATAAACAAACTTTTTCCACAGTTGCTGGAACTATGACTCATATATAAACCTGTACCTAGTAGTGCGTTATTTTCTCAATGCTCGCTTACTTTCCACATAAATAGCTGTTTGAGAGTTTTAGCTAGTATCATTGCCTTTGCTGACCAAACTGTTATTCTTCCAAGATCTCAGATAATTGCATGAAACACTATTTAGGGCATGAAATTGTATAAAGAATGAAATGGCAGTGAAGCTTAAAAGGATTTTGCTAAGCATATATTCCGCTGTGATCTAATAAGTAGAAGGATGATACATACTCATCTTGCTATTTTATTTCAGGGTAAGAAGTGTTATGCCAAATGTAAAACATGATTAAAATGTACTAGAAAAGAGGTTAAAGGCAGGAAGTAAAAGGGAAAAAATCTAATTAATCTAAGTTTACACCAGAGGTTCCCAACCTTTTTCAGTCAATCGCCCCCTTGGTGCTACAAACTCCTCCTCAGTGCCCCCCACCCAGGGGTGAAATTCCAATTTCTTAACAACCAGTTCTGTGGGTGTGGCCTAATTTGTGAGCGTGGTTTGATGGTCATGTGACTGGGTAGGTGTGGCCAAGTGGCCATGAGACTGGCAAACCAAATACAAGTGGTCCTCGCTTAATGGCCGGTTGTTTAGCAAGTGTTCTAATTTATGACTGACTTCCCCAGAACTACTTGACCTGTTTTGGAGTTTTGACGGCCATGCACACACACACATACACTCCTTTCTAACCCTGCTGGAGCAGGTGGTTGGACTAGATATCTCATTCACTTTCTCCTTCCTTCCTTCCTTCCTTCCTTCCTTCCTTCCTTCCTTCCTTCCTTCCATTCCCTTCCTTATCTATCCCTTTTCTTCCTTTCTCTCTCCCTTTTTCTTTTTCCCTTTTCTCTTTCTTTTCTTTCTTGTCTCACTTCCAACACTCCTTTGCCCCCCTTGCTTCTTATCGCCCTCCTAAGACATCCCACTGCCCACTTTGGGAACCACTGGTTTACACCAACCTCATTCACCATACTTTTCATGCCTTTTTGTTTTTATCTTTGCTTTCAGGAGATCAAAAAACAAATTAATATATTGCCATTTTGTTCCTTAAAAAAATTTCAATTTGTTAGAGAATCTTTTGCTCCTTATTAACTACACCTTGCTCAGACTTCCCCTTATTTCAACCCTTTTACTCTTCCATCATATTTCATTCAATTTGATCTATCTATTGTTCTTCTTCTACATACACTTGCACTCTCTATTTCTGCTTACCTACTCAATTCTTTTCTATACAGTAAAGTTGATAGAAGGACTTTCTTACATACAGCCATCTTTAGTTCTTTCAACCAATATTCATTCTTTAAATAGATTGCATGTTATCCACTATGTTTCTCCTAACATTTATACATCTTAACATTTCTCCACCCATTTCCCCATTTTGTAAACTTTCCAATAAGATACAATATTAATTTCAAATTAATTTGTTTAACTTTCATTACCTTGATCTTTAATTTTCAGATTCTTACTACTTGTTGCATTGTATGATCTAACACTTGCTACAAATCATTTATGTTGTCATTCAACAACATGGCATCATCTATATATGAAAGCATATACATGCTCAACCAACACACTTCTAATATTGCAAATTCATACTTTATACATTCATCCATAAGTACATAAACAGTAAGAAACATCATACAACCTTATTTTACTCTCTGTTCATTGTTGGATCATTTGATAAGTATTGTAATTTTTCTCATGAATGCTTTTCTATTATCCTATATCACTTTTGATATTGACCTTAGTATATAGCTCCAAACCATCTGAACAATTAAGGTGAATCCTTTCTAAGTTTCTTTCTCTGACTGTTAATCCACTGGGGGCTCCTCCCTACTTGTCGGATTGTTTCTTAGGCAGCACCTTTTCCCTGTGTCCCCCAAGGTCATCCACACATTCCCCCAAGGTCATTCAATTAGCTTCCTGCCAAGGCAGGACTGAATATATATATTCATTCATATATAAAGCTTCTTTTTCAGAATTGTTTTTACTACATTTTTTAAACTGAGTTATAAATTAAGCTTTTTAATTGCTGTAAAGGAGACACTGAATTCATTTTTTTACCAATTTATCTTGTCATTTAAAAATAAATAAATGTATATAAATGTATTATCTGTGAACAGTGTCTACTATATAATAAAGCAATAGTATAAAAGGTTTTAGCGCTATAAAAATTCACGAATTTTAAAATTAACTTAGTTGATCATTCAGTTAGATGAACATTCTGCATAAAGTACAGGAAGCTCCTTGACTTACAACAGTTCATTTAATATCCATTCAAAGTTACAACTGCACTAAAAAAAGCCACTTATGACAATTTTTCACATTTACAACTCTAGTAGCATCCCCAGTCACAAGATCAAAATTCAGATGCTTAGCAACTGACTCATATTTATGACAGTTGCAGTGTCCTATGGTCATGTGATCACTTTTGCAACATTCTGCCCAGAAAAATCAATGAGGAAGCCAGATTCATTTAACTGAATCACTAACTTAACACCGCAGTGATTTACTTAACAGCGAAGATACGAAAGGTAGTAAAATGGGGAAAATTCATTTAACAAGTATCTCACTTAGCAACAGAAATTTAAGGTTCAATTGTGGTCATAAGTCAAGGACTATCTGTAGCAGAAAATTTAGACATATTTATAGTAACATAGTCAGGAATATCTGAAAGTAAAAACAGTAGGTTAAATTGATCAAAATGATTAGAAAATCTACTAAAATGTGGGCTTAACTGGCATTTAAGAAAGAAAAATAAAATGAGAAACAGAGAGACTGCAACAGACCTTCTGTGTTACCTATTTGCCTTTCTAGATCTGCTGCTTCTTCTGGTGTTGCACGAGGCAAGACTCCAGGATCACTAAAACTAGTACGTAGCAAGGTCCCCATAACAAAAAAGAACAGAACTGCTCCAACAGCAGGAATTGCAGGTGTAATCTTCTCAGATAAATACGGACAACTGTAAAATAAGAAAAATAAAACATTAGGAATAAGGCCATCTTAAAAATAGTAAGTACCCACAACTGATTTTGCAGGGGATGGGGTGAAGAACTACTTCAAAACCATCTATATTAATATTCATTTCAGCAAAAACTCAGAAAATCTGTTCTGATCTCACTTTGCCTTCACTTGTACTGTACCTAAAAAAAAGAACCAGAATATTTTAGATTCTTATACCAAGCTTCCACCTCATATCTGGGACTAAGAACTGTATTCAAGTTAATATGCAATGTTCTGATTCAGCTATTTGCATTAATAAAACAATAAGAGAACTGCAGTAAAGATCAGCTGATGATTACCAAAGAATAAGAAATACAGGTTGTACCACTCTGCACTTACGTGATTTTTATTGACCAAAATTAATAACTTTTAATACTGTAAGTAGTTTATGAAAGTATAACTAAAATATAACATGTTTATTTTCAATCTCTCCCTCCAGTCCTTTGGCTTTAAAGTTTACATCGGGCACAAAAGGTGTTCAGAGCATAAGTAACATTCTTTCATTTAAAAATTTATCTATTATATGTTCTGAAAATATTAGAATATTCCAAATAATTTGATTCATATTTTAATTTATATTTTTAAAAATATTTTAAAATTAACAACATAGCCAGTATTTTACACAGCATGAAAAGAACTGCAGTAAAGTGTGCAATTAATTATTATATTTATACTACCTATTTATACATTATTAGACAGAGCACCACTTTGGTTCAGCTATGGTTAAGGCATCAGGCTAGAACCCAGGATATAACGAGTTCTATTCCCATCGTAGGCATGAAAATCCCATTGGAAGATTAAACACACTTATGTTGCCAATGAATTCTCAGCGAATTGGTATGCTTAGTAGGGGGTTGAAATTTTCAGCCCAGCTTTTCTGCCTGTCTAAGTTAAATTCATGAGAAAATCCAATTGAGACTAAACCCATTTATTAGGGTTAGGTCCCATGAAGTCGGAGAACAATTCATACATCACCAATGAATTCGTAGCACATCAGTATGCTTAGGATAGAGCTGAGATTTTCAGCTCAGCTTGCTCTCTGACTTCATAGGGACCTAACCCTAAGTATGTTTATAGTGCAATGTTATATTCCGATGTATTTAATTTGGACAGGGAAACAAAGGTGGGCTGAAAAATTGAGCCTCCTCCTAAGCATCTGATGCACTATGAATTCATTTTGCTCTCCAAGTTCATGGGGACCTAACCCAAAGTGGGTTTTCCCTCCAATGGGATTTTCCCATGTATTTAACTTGTACACACAAAAAAGCTGGGCTGAAAATCTCAGACCCCTCCTAAGCATACTAATGTGCCTCAATTTCATTGGCAACATCCATTTTATTCTCCAAGTTCATTGGGACTTAACCCTAAGTGGGTTCTCCCACCAAAGGGATTTTCTTGTATATATAACCTTGGACAGGTAGAAAGGTGAAAAGCTCAGTTCCCCCCTAAGCATACCAATGCAGTTTGAATTTCTTGACTACATCCATTTTGCTCTCTGACTTCATGGGGTGCTAATACTAACCCTAAGTGGATTTATTGCTCAGTGGGATTTTTACATTTAACTAGCGCATTGGTAAGCTTAGGAGTAGGCTGAGATTTTTAGCCAAGCTTTTCTAACTGTCCATATTAAATACATGGGGAAATCCGATTGGATGATAAACTCACTAAAGATTAGAGTTAGGTTCCTATGAAGTTGGAGAGGAAAATGGATGTCACCAATGAATTCACAGCGCATCAGTATGCTTAGGAAGGGGCTGAGATTTTCAGCCCAGACTTTCTACCTGTCCATATTAAATACATTGGAAAATCCCATTGGATGATAAACCTACTTCGGATTATGGTTAGGAACATACTAAAGCATATGAAAAACATATGAAGAACAGTTGCAAGAATTGGGTATGTCTAATTTAATGAAGGACTAGAGGTCACATGATAGCAGTATTCCAATATTTAAGGGGCTGTCACAAAGAAGAGGAGATCAACCTATTCTCCAAAGCACCGGAAGGCAGGTCAGGAAGAAATAGATGGAAAGTGATTAAGGAGACAGCCAACATAGAACTAAAGAGAGATTTCCTGACAGAACAATTAATCATTGGAATGACTTGCCTCAGAAGTTGTGGGTGCTCAAATACTGGAAGTTTTTAAGAAGAGCTTGGACAATCATTTGTCTGAAATAATATAGGGTTTTCTGCTTGAGCAGGGAATTGAACTAGAAGACCACCAAAGTCGCTTTCAACTCTGTTATTCTGTTATACATTTACAAAATTTCTACCTGTCAATTACAAATTGCCATACTACTTGAATCTTCACATATACTATTCTGATACATTACAGCATCCTAGGTTCTTGGGAAGAACTCAATATGTGTGAAGGCCAACGCCAGCTAAAGAACTGGCAGTTATAATTTCACGTTATTGTGAACAGATAAATAATTAAACACCATCAAACATCTGCCTATACCATGTTCTTGGGAAGGACTCGATAGGTGGGTGACAATGCCAAATACAGTCTAAATAATACAGTAAAAAATTTACCAAATATTATCAGATTTAACTTTAAACTCAAGAGAGATTTGAACCAAGTATTTGAAAACTGTTATTTGTAGTTTTCATTCAATAAGAACTTTAATTTTGTTCATGTTACCAGTATAGTTGTGGCTAATATTTACAATAAAATCCAAAATATGAAGTGAATGTCTTTAATGTATTAAATTGGGGTATTTAAGTAGTTATCCATTTCCATGGCTGATATAAAATTCATTGGCACTGAAAACTATAGAAGTACAGAATCATCCCATCCATTTTAATATCAGCTGTAAAAATGTGACATTTCCTATTTTGATTTATATTACTTCCTATGCTTTATGAAGTGTTATGCCAATTTGCAGTAAGAAAAGCCATTTGCTATGTTTATACTGACATTTTAAATTTGATTTTAAAAATATTTTTACAAATGCTTTTTTATCTTGCAACCAATCATCCCGTTCAATTAAAAAAAATCAAAATTCTGATATTGCCTGTATCAGACATTTTGTCTAACAATAATTAGACAATTGTCTAATACCTGAAAACCAGATCAGGAGATTATTCTTGTCAAATTCTTTTTGCTAAATTTGGTCATCCTCTAAAGGGTTTAGGGCAAAATGCATTTTTTTTTTCCTGGATATCAAGCATTTGAAATCTCAGCACATTGCTTAGTGTACAAGTCAGTGATTTTATATAACAGGAAATGGATAACATGTGCAGAAGATTTATAAATATTTCTGTTTAGATAAACGAGGTTGAGTCCAAAATTAATGAATTAATCACAACAGCAATACATGCCAGATGTTTCTAAACATTCATTTTGGCTACAGTATCCATGTTAGTTATGCCTAATTCAGGAAAAGGCAAACAAACTGCATCTGTTGAATCCATGTCAGGGAAAGGAAGTGAAATAAGAAGTATCAAACGGGAATTCCCTCCTTCATTTTCTTTCCTTATTTATCTTTCTTGTATACTCCTCTCTCTCTCTCTCTCTCTCTCTCTCTCTCTCTGTGTGTGTGTGTGTTAAAGTAATATTATACAGCAAGTATTTTGAACAAACATAATGTGCTGCAAACGCATTTAATATTGAATCATTTTTCCTTACTCCATTTTGTCCTTTGCTGCAATTCCTTCTCATACATTCTCTTATTTGGAAACAAACAGATGTTAAGACCTTCAGATATGCTGATACTCCCTAACTCACCCAAGTATTCCATTAATTGAGTAAATACCAACAGCATTTAAGACTTATATACCACTTCAACAGTGTTTTACAACCCTCTCTAAGCGGTTTACAGAGTCAGCATATTGCCCCCAACAATCTGGATCCTCATTTTACCCACCTCGGAAGGATGGAAGGCTGAGTCAATCTTGACTCAGGTGAGGATCAAACCCCAGCAGTCAGCAGAATTAGCCTGCAATACTGCATTCAAACCAGTGCCCACCATGGCTTATAAACTTTTATTATGCAAGACTATTGAGTACATCTTGTTTACAGCTTTTAACTATATACCATAAAAAGTCTTGTTGTCATAACCTGGGCATCAATCATAGGCACTAATGTTTATTTTATTTATTTGTAAAATGTATTAGGTGGTCATCTTGCCACACATTAATTCTGGGTGGAGTTTTGAACCAAGTCATCTCAAATAGGCTAACTTACAGAATGTCTCCAAAATTTGGACCCACAATTTTCAAAGGAATGAAATTTGTGAAAGTCCTGGCTGCTGCTAGTCACGTGATCTTTAATTTCAAAGTTCTGTGACCTTTTCCCAAACAGTCTTGCAGTCCCTCCCTCCCTCCCTCAATCAGCAGCATTAGCCTGCCTGCTGGGAATGGGTTTCTGATACTGTTTGCCAGATTTTCTCAAGGAAAATCAACGGGGAAATCACTCCTGCTCCCTCTGCTTTATTCCCCACCCTTGATCATTCAATTTCTCTGTTGAGGTAAGGAGATATCTCTGACATTATGACTCAAGGAGGCATCAGTTGTCTGGTCTGTCATGAAACCTGCTGGGTTAGAAAGCTAAAGTATCTCCAATCTTTTAGTATTGACACAGTTGTTACAATTTTGCACTAAGATTGTTTCAAAAGTCTTTTCCTTCAATTTTTTCTTATTTCCCTAATTAATTTTGCCATCTCTGAAATAATTTCTGGGATATATATTAAGATCTGAAGGCCAACATTAATGTTGAGATGCTGGCAAATCTAACTTTTCACAATCTATATTCTTATCAACAAAAAAAAGACTATTTTCCAGGAAGGCTGGATAATGCTTTGATTGCTGCTTTTTAAAAAAATAAAATTTAGGCAAATCATATAACCTTAATAAATGATAATGAATTTAAAAATACCATGCTTCAAATTTAAATCAGCATGAAAATGCCATCTGTACTTATGTATTATTTTAAAGCAAGCAGTTGATTCAACCAGGT